TATGGTATGTACTTTTATACAGCCTATCTCTGTAAATATTTCTTTGAATTTATCAACTAACTTGGAGTAATCACCCTCATTTTCAATAGACCCAATTTTTTTTTATTAAATTTAATTGCATACTTGAATTCAAGCCTAATATGGCTGGAGTATTTGAGTTTACTACATACAATTCTAAATCAGTTACAACATTATTTTTGTAGCATGATAGTATACATTTGCCATTAACATTTAGACTACCACCTGTATATGATTGTAACCTCACCTGTGTATTTTTTATAATATATTTAGATAGTTCTTAAGTCTCAAAGATGTTTAGAGGTAATACATTAGCCATTGCTCCTGTATCTATTTTTAATTTAATTATTTTGTTTTAAATTTTTAGTTCTGTCTCCCACAAATTGGTAACCTGTATTGTTTTAATTTGATTATTTTTGGTAATAGACCCTACAAACAGGTAGTTATGACTTGAATCAGTACATATCTTATTTACTCTTGAATTATGTTCTACAGCTTTACCTACCCGAAATTGATTCTTTTTTTTTTTCATACATGCCGATTCGAAATGATTGATTATTTTACAGAAGTTACAAACTTTCCCAAAGGCTGGGCATTTATTAATTTTGTGTGACTTACCACATTTCATGCAATTGTTTATAATTTTTGTCTGATTATACCCTTTATTTGTTTTTCTATCTTTAAACACTTCTTCAGGTGTGGTACTGGACCCTGCTATGACGTCACTTCTGATTTTCGATGTCTCCAAAATCCTGCATAATTCTATCGCTTTATCCAGTGTCAAGTTATCTTCTTGTAAAAGTCTCTCCCTAATATTACTGTTGTTAATACCACACGTTATCATGGTAACTACTAAGCTGTTCTGAAGTGTCTCTAGCTTGCATTTGGCTGCTTGTTTCCTTAATTCGACGATAAATTGTTCTGTTGTTTGATTTTCCTGTTTTGCACTAAATAATTTGTACCTCTCGTAGGTAATGTTTTCTTTGCGTTCAAAGTGTATTTGAAATTTTAACATAGGGATTCCATTTTATCTTTTTCTTCCGGCGTGAACTTGAATGTTGAATATATTTTGAAGCCCTCATCTCCAATATAATGAAGTAATTGCGCACACTGGACTTTTTCCTCCTTCTTTATCACGTCCGTTGCTATAAGGTAGTTTTCAAACCTGGCCCTCCATGTTCTCCAATTTTCTGCCACATTTCCCAACGTGGACAGAGGTGAAATTCCACGACTGTCACCCATTTCGTGAAACTATGTATTCCAAATTAATTTTACTGACTGCGCTATGTTTTTTAAATATTTATTAGTATTTCTAGATCGTGATGGCTAGTAACTTATGCGATAATTGTAATTTAGGTTAGAAATTAAAGACCTTCGTCAAGCACCATGTTTTATTGAATGAACTTCATCTGTCGCTGGTTTGTCAGCTGTCATGCGAGTGTTGTAAACGCTAACATTTACATACCTACATATGTTACATTCTAACAGTTCCTGGTGCCGAATTATTTAATAGTTCTGCTTTCATGCGTTTTCGTGGAAAGATCATCGTTGGTAGTATATAGAGACCTGTGGCACTAACGCAAATTTCCACGGTAACGGTCTGTCCTCGTTCAGCTGACGACAACGACCCCACTTGCTTTCTTCTCTTGCGTGAGATTATTTTCGATTTTGTTTTTGAAACCGATGAAACGCCCGTTTCATCGCAGTTGTAAATCCTGCCGGGCCCTAATTTATATTTATCCAATACTTCACCCAATAAGCCATAGAACTTTGCGACTGATACTTTATTGAAGCCCATCGCTCTGGCAGCTGAGGTAGCTTCTGGTTTTCTTATAAATAAGTCTTGATGGAGTTTTAAAAATCCCTGGACCCAATCGACACCTGCCATTTTGGTTGTTGAATTGAATTTATGTACCTTACCATTTTTTACGGCCAGCTGGTAAGCTAAACTTCTTAGTTCCAAAGTAGTAAGTCCAAATAATCTTGCTTCCATTTCTTTCAAATATTTGACAAGCTCATTTTCTTCTTCACGACTGAACACGGTTTTGATCGGTCCTAACGGTAAATCTAATTTCATTTCACCTTTGGTACTAATTGCTTTGACGTGTCTCTCCAAAGTGGTTTATAGTACTCCATATTCTAGTGCAGCTTTGTGATAGCCCATTTCGCTAGTCACCACTTTTTCAACCACTTTCTTCGTGCTTTCTTTTGACCATTCTCCCCTTGTTGTTTTTCTTTTGTAACAGCGAACTATTATGCTACAAAAAGTATTCCCATAAGTTTTTTTTTTAAATAATTGTAGGGCTTGGGAGAAGAGGGTAACAGCCACACTTTCTCAGATTTTAATCTTAATATATAGTATCATCAGTACCTTCTGGGGCAACTATGCCTCATCTTGCCCCAAACATTATGTCCCGTCTTGCCCCAAACGATATTTTTTCCTGGTTCGGTCCATGATAGTCGGGTCTTTAGAGCATCACCATTAAATAGAACATTAGAAGATAAATGTGGCGACTATTATTTATTAGGGGACAGTGGGTATCCATGTTTACCTCTCTTGCTCATTCCATATAGAGATACGGGAAATTTGGGAAGAATACAAACAAATTTTAATGTGAAACTCTCAAAAAATAGGTATGTTATTGAACACTGTTTTGGGATATTAAAACAAAAATTTAGGCAGCTCTATCATTTAAAATTAAGAAAAATTAGAGACTGTGTACATTCTATAAGAGCATGTTGTGTACTGCATAATTCGGCATTGGAGGATGAGTTGCCTGAAAATTTCGGAGAAAATCCCCAGGAAGCTGCTGACCCTCAACCAATAGAAGAAGGTGAAAGAAATTACCACAATAATGGATTTAATTTAAGAAATAGAGTAGCCAATATGTTGGTTCTTGAATAATATTTTAATAAAGGCAATTGTAAAATAATTTTTTTTTACCAACTGTACCTGCAGGTTATCATAAAAATGGATTCAAATCAAATAAAACACAAACAATATTATAAGAAATATATTTAAAACAGAATTAAAAACATATTTTTAAAACAAAATAAACCTAGAAAAAATATAACACAATAAACTATATAAATAACACTAAAGCACAAAAAAATCTTAATACCTATTTTATACAACTAGAAAACAAAACAAACCTGAAAAATATAAATAATACTTATATAATAGTGTAAATATAACTAAAAAGCACCAAAATAACATGTATAGATATAAAAAATCAAAACAAAACCTATTCATCTAACAAGTTTGCATATCGATGGCTTAGTGGATTGGCCCAATGAACTGAAGTTTGGTAGAAAGCCAATGTGCATATTGTATCAATAGAACAAGATGCGACTCTATGGGCGCAGCCATTTTTATTTCTCATCTCACTCGGGAGTATTTATAATAACCATCTTCTGTTTCACATTGTTATTGTTCAATCCACAAGCTGGTGGATCAGACAATAACAAAGTGAAATAGAAAATGGTTGTTATTAATACTCCCGAGTGAGATGAAAAATAACCTGTCTTCGCCCATAGAGTCGCATCTCAAGCCTATTGACAAGCATTCTACCCCACTCCAGTTCATTGGATTGGCCGCATTCAGCAGAAGCAATCGATTTATGATTTTCTGCTGAATGATAGGTATATAAAAGAGCGATTAGTAGTCAAATGATAAGTTATCGGCCGCCATTTAAAACATCGAATTTGAAATACGATTAGTTATCACATCGTGATTAGATTTAGAACTCATACCAACTGAAGTGAATGTTTTGTGGTGGTGCTCATAACTCATAACCTTATTTTATGTTTATTTTGAATTCATTTTTACACTGAATTTGTCATTTTTCACTAAAATGAAGGACTTTGAAGTGATATATGTTTATAACAATATGAAATATATTGTAGTTGGTAATGAAGTGTTGCACAATGCATTAAAATTAGGCTAATTTATAATTATGTAGTTGAGTAATTTATTTGGTGTTTTATTCTAAATTTTGTACCTATGTTTTAGATGATGACTTTTTTCTGAAGTACATGTCACTTTTATGTCGCCTGTCGAAGTGCCTAAAAAGTTCATTCAGGAGATTCACTAATGGATAAGTCATCGCTAAGTTAACGTTTGATAATCGGTTGCTTCTGCTGAATGCGGCCATTAACACGTATTAACATTTTTCCAAGTTTCCAGGAAACGATAAAAATGTATTAGTGGTCCGGTTTCGAGTATGACAGTGTTATTTTTTGCAAATAGTAAATGTTTTTAGGTACATATCAAATTGTTATGCCAGTTAACGTAAAAAAAAATTATTTGTCAGTATTAGGTTTGATACGAGTTATTGCAAAAAAAATTGTGATGATACGGGTTAATACATTTTATTCTTAATAATGAAACATTGTGGATAAAATAGAAAATATTATTATAATCAACAAACTAACTCATTAAATAAAATAAAAGTCACTATTTCAAGTAATAAAAGTACAAAAACTTACTTATTAAAAAACATAAAAAAATTAAAATCAGTAGTAGTAGTAGTGGTGAAATTCTCTTGGTAAGGTCGTTTTGATATCTTGTAGATGATCAAACTTTAATTTTGATATTTTGATTCTTCTTTGAAACAAGTTTTGGGGTAATACATTAACACTAACTTCCTTGTATCTTTGAGGCAAATCTTTCAAATCGTGGGAGAAGTTTAGTTTATAATTAATTTTGCCATCCATCCCATAATGGATTACTCGAAGATCAGTTACTGTTGGATCTCTTGTTCCACGTCCAGGCCGAATGCTCTTGTATCTCATCAAGTCTGAGTTATCATAATTTTTAAAAAATGGATATTCAAGGTACTCTGCGTCATATGGGAAAGGTTTAAGTCTAGCATTTTTTGTTATATTTACATAATCATATGGTAAGAAAATGTCCCTATTTTTAAATTTTCTTTCAATAACGCTGTGAACCGAGTCACACTCCATTTGAGTGTGCCCCGGTTCTAAGTACTTTTATGGATCACTTGTTTTTTATATTTTACAGCATAGTTTAATAGAGCATTAGCCAAAACCACATTGCGATTTTGGTAAGGGCAACCGTCACTCCATAAAACAGTGTGTTTATCTTCAGTACAATATTTTTCTAAATGGCTTATTATAATAGTGGTAAAAACAGATGAGACAAGATCTGCTTCTGATTCGTTCCACCAATAGTTTGTACATTGGTGACTGGCCAAGTTATAAATGGTAAAATTATGCAACTTAAGTCTCGTCTTAAAGTAGAACTTGTTTGCATTATTAACTGGACATAGTTTAACTGTTTGTACATCCATAACAAAAGTATATTGGTCGCTTATCTCTGCTTTTCTCTTATCTTCACTTTTCTCCAATCGAGCTGCATCTTTTAACTCAATATGTCTTGTATACTCCTCATCAGTCACATTGCCAGCACTATAAGACACGTAAATATTACACTGGTCTTTTTTTGGGCTAAATAAAGACTAGTTCATTTCTTCAAAAATTTACCAAAATGTAAACACATTCAGGGCTTGTTGGTTGTTTTCCGTACAATGTTTTTGGTAGAGCCTAAACACATCCATTTTTGAACAGAAAACTCCTTCTAGGTAGAGCTTATGACTATCCTTTCTACAGTAATGTGAGCTCTGTTTCGGTAATTTATCAAAAAATGATCTTAAGAATAATTTTTGTTCCTCAGCAACTTGAATAGATCTTTGTTGGGGCCGATCAAGTTTCCGAGTAGTACTAACATGTCGGGGGCTGTGCATACCATGAATGTTTTCCAAACACCAGTGTGATATCATCCATTCTTTTAGTCCCAACGTTGATAGGAACATTTTTTTACATACCTGCTTAACTTCATTTTCAACCCTCAAAAAATATTCATAAGTAAATGACCATCTTGATTTCCCTGCTACAAATTTTCTAGCAGTACTCTTCTTCTTCATTAAACTTGTTACATAGATTTTTTTCTGGTCCCATTCTAATTCTTTCCAAAATTTGTTAAAAATTACTTTTCTTGTCTCCATGTGTATAGTATTGCAGAACCTGGTTTTGTATTTAACACACTTCGATCAAGTACAAGAAGGTCCCATAGTTTTCGGCTTTCTCATTTTATTGTGGAATACTTTGCCATCCTTGGTTCTTGTGTAACCTAAATACTCTTTTCCCCTCATCCTTTTCAATCTTGTTTTTTCTCTATCCCATTCGGCCTTCGCTGGTTTTCTTCTCCGCTTTTTTCCTTCTTCTGCTACATCCTTATCCAGCCCATCTTCTGAGTCTAATGTTTCGTTGGTTTCTTCATAATCAGGATCATCAAGATTGTCGTCAATCTCTGATTCATTGTTAGTTTCTAAATTTGCGCCATTTGCAATGTCTGTTTGTTCCAATGTTCCAATTTCTGTAATATTTGTTACATCTTCTAACAAATTATCTTTTTCAAAATTGCTATTAGATATATTGGTGGTGCCTTTTTTGGTTTGGTTTTCGTTATTTATTTGGATCTCATTGTTCTCGTTATTAATATCTGGATCTAAATGTGCCTCAATACACCTATCTTCAATAATCGGCAAAGTTTCCTCTGCAATAATTACTGGATAATTTAAAGCCATTTCTAACATGTTCTTGCTTCTGATATTACCACAAAGTTGTGAAATTGGAAAGTTATTCATTTTCTGAAACAAAAAACTTTAGTATAGTAATAGTAAGTAATAACGATATGTATGTCCAGTTTGTTTTTAAATTTATTAAATAACACGTAATAACATGTATCAAACATAAAGTACACGGGTCAGCCTTATTTAAAAAGAAAAAATCATAATTGCAATAGCACGTAACATCCGTTTCATGAATAATAGGCGGTATTTAATTAAAATGTGCTAAAAAACTATTTTAGAATGTATTTTATTGAGTAACAAACAATCTTATTTCGAAATTAACTTACCTTTTTAGTTTAAATTGCAAAAAATCACTACCAAATGTCATACCACATGCACAGCGACCATTCAAATACTTTCTTAACCTTAAAATATGTTGATACCTGGTAATGAATTTACTGGATGATACGTGGCGTTACCATGACACTAAAATAAAATATTTTCATTTATCCAAACGTCACGAGCTTTCACGCAATGTTGTCAAACTGGATAACTGACATAAAATAATAAATATTTCTGCATTTGTAGTACATGTTTTTCTTTTTTCTAAAGTTTCTTTAATGCTTTCATTGTTACTTTCCTGAGTTACTTCTATTTCCATGTCTTTTTCTGCCAAAACTTCATTAAAATTATTTTTAATTTCACTCCCTGTGACTTGGTAGGTACTGCATGTGTCGGATGTCCCATTCGATGACACTCGGTATATTACTATTCATTCCATACTAACCTGCATTTACGCTTGCCAGTGCTTCTTGATTTAAAATTTTCCCTCCTTTTAAACAGCTATACACTAGCTTATAATATACTAAATCTTGATTACTCTTTTCCGTTTTTAAAGGGCATATTTTTGCCATGGATTTTAGCGTTTTCGAATCTCTTTTGTAGACAGGGGCGGCTTGTGAACAAAATTTTGGGGGTACACGGTAGCAGAATATAGATCCCGGTACAGATATAGGTAAAAAACTGTCAGTGTTTTAGAAAGGTATATTATAAACTTTTTAAAACACTGAAAGTTTTTTCATACATCTGTACTGATACCTATATTCTGTCACTGTGAACCACCCCACGAGCCGCCACTGTTTGTAGAGCTGTATAAACTGTGTTTTTTCTACATTATTTATGTAAGTTTCAACTTCTTTGTAGCTAATAAAGGATTTATTTACTTTTAATATTTCTTCCTGATCATTAGAGGACATTTTAAAAAAGAAATAAAATGTTTTAGTTTTTAGGTTATCTCATTTATCACAACACCAACAAATGATTTTTGAGGTTAAGACAAAGGCTGGCGGAACCACAAAAACATATTTCATAAACGTCCGCAAATAAAACGCGCATGTGCGGACTTGCGGAGCCCTAGATAAATAGACTAGGTGTCCACAACTTGCGGACCCGTATACACGTCTTTTGTGATTTGTTATGTCCGTTTTGCATTTACTTTTGTCAAATAAGCCAAATGGAAACTAAAGTAAGAGTTCTGTGGCAGTGTTATTTGTACAAATTGAACTAAAATGTGTCTGTAACATATTTTACCGTAAAATAATTTCAATACCTTACTCAAAATGTTTGGAATAATACCTGATCCTAGGTTAATTTAAAGTACAAACCATATAAAGATATTTCAAATTTCAACACTGTCAGTTGTTCGTTCTCCCTCATCCCAACTTTTTACACAAAGCATAGAAATGTATGATTCCTAATTAAATGAAATGTTTGATAACGGTGAATACTGCCATTGTTTCTGATTAATGTTACATTTTAATACTTATACTGTGTTTTCTGTTTCAGAGTATTCTTCATAATGTTGGGGGCACAATGCTGTATTCTGGATTATGTAGCAGCCAAATACTTCATACATAATACATTTTATAATATTGGATTTGTATATATATATATATTTATATTAAATTAATTTTTTGATTATGCTTGTCTTTTTATCTAAAAACTGTTAGTCAAGTTAAGATTAGTTCATGCAACTCAATTTTTGCTTTATTATAGCGAATATCGCTATAATAACGCTTTTCTCCTCTCTTCTTTTTCATATGGCCTCTTACCCGGTAAGGACTTAATTGAAAAATGATCAACCACGTCCACCAGGTGGCGCTGAAATTATATCACCGTTTTCTAACATGGGAGTTATCGTTCTAAGAGTAAGTGTTCTGTGGGACAGATGTGTCTGATGTGGATAAACAAACGCTCGAGATGTAAAAAATGCATCGGATGTGGATATTCAAACGCGGCATACGTTGTATACTTAGTTGTGGAATGTTATTTCTGATCATTTCTTCGTATGAACATCTATTAGATTGCTACAAATACGTTGATCACAAGCAACCATTGTTTAACTTTTAATATGTACAATATATTTATTAGTTTGCAAATGACAAAAATACTAAAAACTTTGATTGAAACCACGATTATCTGTTTGAAGGATCCGTGAACACAATATGACGGCAGTGAATCCGTCTTGGACCACGTGACAGCGTCTCCTTACCTTTTACCTTCATGGTCGACTCCCGTGTAAAATAATCTGAACGCGCTCCAGTGGTTTGTATTTTTGTTCTAACTGTCGAAGTCTTATTTGACATTTGTTTTTAAATTAGTTGAATCTGCTTTTACAAATCCAGGATTCATGTTAAACACATATAAACGATTCAGAAATAGAAATATAATTCAGAATAGTTTATCATCATTTTCAGAAGCATGAGTAGTCAAAAGATAACGCGCGCATGTATTGTTTCTAGCGTTCCATTATAAGGCAGAACTCAGACAGAATAGGTCGTCCACGATCAAGCACGATCAACCAAGGACAAACACATGACTCCTCGACCGTTTTAAAAGAATGAATTCACACAGCGTCGATCGATTTGATCCGACCAAAACAAAAATGGTTCTCTATTTTAAAATTTTAATTATTGCTTTTAGTGGAAATTAACAGTTGATGCTTCAATTAAATATTTGCTAATTAATATTAATTCAATAGACATTTATATTAAAAAAAATATGATTTTTCTGATATATATTATATACAGTTATTCAAAATAGATCATAATAATAATATAAATATTAACCTTTGGTCATTTTTAACATTATATCTATTTTTTAACGTATTTATAACCTAGCTTTTGATCGTCCACCATCGAGCGATCAACCAAATTTCAAACAAACTCAAAAAGTGAAACTGCTTGGTCGAGGACGGTTGATGACGGTGGCGCTCGATCGGCGTAGTGTGAGGTTTGTCCAATGAAGTGGAGAGGGGTAGAATGATAACTGTTAATGAAGAAGTCTAGACACTATGCACAATTTCGTTTTGCACATTTTGTAAACAAGATTCAGGGACGGTTTAACAACATTTTGTGCAACAATTATAAAATAGTGCATCGAAAAATAATTAAAAAGTATAATTTAATAATAAATTGAAATAAAAGCACAAAAAATCACAAATATACGCAAGATAACAAAGAATTGACGCCAAAAAAGCGTACAACAGCCACAAAACAAACAAAAAAAGAGCTGAACATGAACATAATCGCTGAACAGAGCCAATCCTGGAATTTGTTTACAGTGCTTTAGGGCAATCTCTCCTTGTCATTTACATGTATAAGAGTGGAAGGTTGAATCCCGCATAATTTCTACACTCGTGATGGATGCGCAGACGGTACTTTATCGTTCTACCCTCTCTACTTCTTTAGGTTTGCCATAAGCTTACGCATGTTTGAACTTTTGGACCATCGCGGACGGTCGACGTCACAAAGCACGTGTCTTCTAGATATCCCACGCCAATGTTAAACTTTTAAACCAAATTAGCGCCACCTTGTGTTTGGAGCTGGAACTAAAATGACAATTGTAATTTTTAGGAGTAGGTAGTAGTTTTAAATTAAATTTTAAATGATTTCCACATAAATTATTTTATAAAATAAAGTATGGAACTAGTAAGTTCGAAACTTTTATTTTACAAAATAATTTAGGTCGATTATACCAAATTTGAGGAATTAATTTGTTATAAGGGGTCTGATGTGGAGAGTTGGTTCTACATATTATTATTAAATAAATATAAGATATATCAATAAATAATAAAATAGAACATTCTTAAAATATGTTTATTAATAACTTAAATAAATATTATTAGATAAAAATAAATACAAATAATAATAATACATATTTAACGAATACTTACTTGGAGCAAATATATATATAATCTCAAATCTTTAAAATACCTATCAATAATTTAAATAAGAAGTACAGACCCAGACAACACACCAAATCCCAGAGATATCCACAGAATATCTTTTGTG